CCTTTCAGGTTGTTTACTGTCAGGACAAGATGAAAATGTTTCACCGAATCATGAAATCAAATTACTCTGAAATGAGAACGAAAACACGTCAGCAGGCCTATATGGAATAATTTGGTGTCCTTTGAGAATCATAACCAGCGTGGCGTAATTTTCTTTTTTGTCTCGTAATGTTCTCAGATGTCTCGCTCTGTGCGAACTGAGGACGAGCAGTCTGCCTGTGAGTGATTTGTGTTGCGTGCTTGCGTTCGAACGCACGCTCACTCTCACTTACCTCAACATGCTGTTTGCAAAAAGAAGAAGTAGGCACATGTTTTCTATCTGAGAAGTACAGAGAAATTCCCCAAACCTATATCTGCTTTTTTTTATTACCTTAGAACATCAGCTCATGTCAGCTCACCCCACAGCACAACGCTGCAAAGAGTTAATATGAGGAAATGGGAATACTCTCAGTTTTCCCGAGGCCATCTGTTTCAGCAACACCCAACTCCACACACATATCCATGCACTCCTCTAACCTTCTGTGGTGCCCCTGTCTACACAAAGCACCTGCCTGGGGGAGATTGCTTTAGAAACCCGGTGACAGAAAAGTGGATCACAATTTATATAAGGTTGAACCTTCCCTTCCCCAAGGGAAAAGCATTTATATTGGAAAAAAATAGTAGTGGTGAGCTCCATCGGTGCCTTCAGGTCTTATGAAATGCTTCTATTTTTCATGCTAAATTAGTAAGTGACTTAGGGACATTCAGTGGGGTCAGGGGGGTGGGGTCAGTCACAGAAGAGGTTTTTATCCAGGGATACAAGTTTTTTCAGATTGTTACTAATTGTGGTAGCAGAAGCTTGTGAAGTGATGCACACATGACTAATTACACAGCTTACAATGTGTTTTTATAAATGCAACCATTGTATCTTTAAGGATGCCAATTCAGGTCTACTGGCTAATCCAGCACTTTGATCCAGCACTGAATTAAATTATCTGAAGAATTGCTGGACAGACTGAGAATTGCTGCAGACATTCTTTGTCCCCAGCGATTAACTCTAATAACTTTAGTCATTCCCAGACCTTTTAGACAAAACCACACAACTGTCCGAGTTTTCTCTTTTCTCTCTAAAAACACTTTAGCTAACGAAATGACACACCACATATATTCATGTTTACTGGATATTGACTCCTATGGATGCTGGTGGTGTAGTGACTTGATTGAATTGAATGGACTGCAGTGATGTGTATTTATTGACACTACTGACCATTGCATTAACTGTTTAGTAATTACAGACAGCTTTATACACAGGTATCCATTTGCAGAAGTTTAAAAGTAACTGAACAACTGACTGTTTAGCAGTTTCGTGACCATGTTCCTTTGTTATTTTATGACAAATTAGGCAGAAATCTGAAGTTGTCATGGTCCTGGGTCGTGCGACCCAGTGTTTTGTGTTTAGTCTATTTTGATGTTTATTGTTTGTTAGGTTCATTAAGTTATTCCAGCTCATTTGTAATTATATTACCCTTGTACAGTATTAAGCCTCCCTTGCCCTTCATGTGTTTATGTCTGTGTGTCTTGTGTTGTCAAGTTCATGCTGTCGCTTCTGTCATCTTCCCCTGTACTCCGTCTCCCTGGTTCGTGCGTCTACCTGTCATGAGTCATGTCTGCGTGGTTATGTTTAGTTCATGTCATGTCTAATCTCCATGTTTCCTGTTTTACTTTGAAAGTCTGTATTCAATGTCAGTGTGTTTAGTTTCACCTCTCTTGTCCTGTCGTTAGGTTCATGTGTGTCAGCTGTGCTCCCATGTGTGGCCACTTCCCCTGATCATCCCTCATGTGTATTTAGTCTCGGTGTTTCATGCAGTCTGTGTCGCGTCGTCTGTGTTCCCACCCTCCATGTTGTCACAGCCAGTCTTTTGTATTCATAGTTATGATTTCCTGTGTTTATCCTGGTATCACTTTCCCAGTTTAGTTATAGTTTAGTTTTGTCACTGCGCTTCTGCCTTGTTTGCACTCCTTGTCTTCAGCTACAATAAAGGCTCGCTTTTCGTTCAACTCAGTTTTGTGTCCACGCCTGTGTCTGCACCTGAGTCCTCCACACACTGTCCACACGGTCTGCCACTGCGACCGTGACAGAAGTTGACTCTCTGTGTTGAACTTGGTTTGGTAGTTTTTCACTGCAACTCTCAATATGAGGTCTAACGGGGAAATTATGGTTCTGCACATTGGTAGTCTGTTGGCAGTCCATTCACTACCCGTCTACATGCAGAGAGCTTTTGTCGACTGATATAGGCAGTGGCAAAAACATGCGCTGCGACATGTCTGTGGGCTAGTCTTGCTTGTGCTGTTGTCAGCCCATTAGCCAATGCAGAAAAAAAGGAAGTTATAGCATACAAAGAGTGTTAAAAACAAAGAAAAGTGTCCACTGCAGGCACTGTGTGTACTTTTTGATGTCTTGAGGCGTCTCCCCACTGTCACTTGTGTTCCTGTTCTAGCCCACTTGTTAACCAGTCAGCATTCTACTGATGTAAAGCATCACTGTCAAACACTGTGTACCTAGGATTCTGAAAAAAAAAAAAAAAACTGCACAGGAACACATTTGTGTTGGTTGTCGTCCACTGTCACCACTGTAAACAGACATAACCATGCTAGCATAAAAATATATTGATATAAGTGAAGGAGGTCATCATTAGGCTCAAGACCTAATTTAAAGCTAACAGAGAGATAACAAAAAATCCCCTCTCTGGATAAAAAGAAACTATGCTTCCACTAGTGCTTATATGACTGTAACTAGTGTGACTGATGATAGAAGTAGCAGGAAGAATTATGAAAGGTACAAGGCTATACTGTTTTCTCAGATTTAGCAAAACTGAGCAGACAGCACTTCAAAGTCCAAATGGATAATGACCAAAGCATACTGCAAAAGTAACCCTAGAGTTCCTTGAGGTTAGTGAAGGAGGCCATCCCCATGATGAAAACCAAAACAAACAAACAAAAAACCCATTATATATATAAACCAAAACGCTTAGGAGTGGCCAAATCAATAGTCAGTCTTATAGATATTTACGCTCTTAAAAAAACATGAATCCAATGGGATTCAACACCAAAAGTCCCAAAAGACCACTAAGACAACTAAGGAACATGATGACAGAATTATTTCCATGGTCAAGAACTATAACTTCACAGCATCTAACCAAGTCAAGAACACTCTCAGGGAGATCATTGTCATGATCAAAAGAAGCCTTTTTTAAATGGAAATACAGAAGGTTTACAACAACGAGCAAACCACTGATTACCCTCAAGAACAAGACGACCAGGTTAGATTTGGCCAAAAACATCTGAAAATGTTGCACAATTCTGGAAAACCCCCAAAATATTTTGGATAGAGAAGACCAAGATTAAGTTGTATCAGAATGATTGGAAGTGACATGTATGGAAAGGAAGAGAAAGCATATCACATCATCTGTCGAACATAGTGGAAGCAATGTTATGGCACGGGCGTGCATGGATGCCAGTGGAACTGGGTCACTAGTGTTTATTGATGATGTGTCTTCTGATAGAAGTTGTGAAGTGTGCAGGGCTATACACTTTGCTCAGATTCAGCCAAATGCTGCAAAACCAAACAGACAGCTCTTCACAGTCCTAATAGATAATGACTCAAAGCATACTGCAAAAGCAACCCAAGATTTTCTCCAAGCAAGGAAATGGGATATTTTTCAATGGCCAAGTCAGTTACAGACTGTAGATCATGACTGACTACAAATTGTTACAATCTTAAAAACAGTCCTTACATTTAAAATGATGTTAGTCTGATCAGTCAATCTTGATTTAAAACCCACCCAAATCTGAGGGACTTAACTGCATGTGTGTTTGTGTCATCTCACACACGCAGACCAGAAGCTGTTTACAACAAAAGCAGGAAAATATCCCACAGCAGTAACTGCTTAATTCGAGATGTAATATGATAACATAAAATAAAGTTGCTTGACTTTTTATCATCATATCAAGAACTCATTGTGTCCATAAAGTGGAAACAGTCTTGCAGCAGAATCACACCAGCTGTGCCACCTGTCTACATAGACAGGTTTTGACCTATGAGCATTTTACTAGTTAGCCTAAAATAAAGATATAACGGTAGCTCTGGGTACTTTAAATACACTGGGAAATTCACCAATAAGTTTTAATCTCAAAATCATACTAAGCAGATGTGAGGGTGTCTTGCAATGTGCCTTTGATGCCAATGGTTGTGGTGATCTCCCTACAGTTGAAAATATCAGCTAGGCGCTCTTAACTATTGCAAAATGATCTATCTGGGTCATCAGGACATCTCACAACTTTAAAACATGCTAACTAAGTCCAGAATAACCATCTTGGGGTGATACACAACCAACACAAGAAACTTTGGCTGCCACTTGTCATAAATTAACATTTAAAGGAATGCTTGAAACTGAGGCAGATGGTGCCCCAAATGAAATACTTATTTTTAAAACTATAAACAGTTGCATTTTTAGTGTAGTTTAGTTTTTTCTGTGTTACCCTGAAAACACAAAGAACTCTTTGTACTTATTGTACTATGTGTAGATGGCTTGCAATGCAGTTTATTGTACTGCAGCCCATCCAAGAAGTACATGCTTAGTTTTTTTTTTTGGTGAAAGAAATTCATTTTATTGATATGTTGGCACTGTAATGACTCCTCATAGTGGTTAACATGTTTGCCTCACATCCAAAAGAGTCCTACTTTAAGGTTGACAACCCAGAATAAGGTGGCCAAGAGCTAGTGTACTCCCAATCCCTAGCCCAGATAAATGAGAGGGTTGTCTCAGTAAGGGCACCTATTAACTTCTGTATGATATGCTAGTCATACCTCCACCTAGTTTGGATGTGTGTACATTGGTCTTTTCTATCAAATAATGACCAGACAAAGAAAGACAACTTTGGGATGCTTAGTAAAAGAAAGCAAACACAAGTCATGTCAATTATCCATAAAATTTTAATGAAAAAAACAAAAACAAAATGGCAATGTACCCATTTAACAACAAAAGAAATGGAGAGAAATCGTAAGATCTTGTGAGCCAAGCTCTTATGTACAGCATATTGCACTAGAAAAAGAAAAAACAAAACAAAATATCCCCCATCCTCCGTCAGTGCCTCCATCACACCAATGTCCTGCACTGTTTGAAAACTGTTCAGGAGAAACAGAGCAGTCCCAAAGATAACACAGCCAATGCTTTAACAAAAACTGCTACATCTGGACTGGGTCTCACTTCATAGGACACATGAATGTGAAATCCTTGAGACCACTCTGAACATAAAGAAAGCAATGTAAAGACAACACAAACTCTGTGCACCGAACCGAGCACAGGAGTCTGAAGTAAGTCCCACTGTTCAGTTCATGTATTAAAAGCGATACTGTGGTTTTTCACTCCATTAAATTACATTCAAACCCTTAGGATACAGATTTTTTTTTTCAGGAATGTTGGACATGCATTTTTACTCCATTTACATATTATCGAAAAAAGCCCTTAAACTGAGAGTGACAGAGCAGACTTGGCAATATCCAAAATCAAAAATGCCTCAACATTGAAAAAAAAAAAAAGCATTTGTAGAAAAGCAAAGGTTGTCTTGTTCTAGTTCTTAAAAAAAAAAAAAAGTGTGGTAAAATTTAGACTTTTTTTTATAAAGATAGCAACAATAGCTCAGTCAAATCATGTCTAATGTATAAAAAACACCAAATCACAGCACTTGACAGTAAAGATGTACTCTTTCTTGGATATACATTTTTTTTTAATAAATTGAAAAATTTTGATATTAAAGACACTGAAGGTCAAACATATAAAACAAATGTTTCACGTGAGTCGAGGTTGCAACAGTGGTTGGTAACAACAGGCTCAGATAAACATCACACCGACTGAGTGGATGCTCTACCCAGCTCACAAAAGAATTCTGGGCACCATGGTGGCTCATTCCTCCTATAAACGTAAACCCCTACTAGACTGCAGATTTGTTTTTGTTTAAAAAAAAAAAAAAAAGCACAAAAACCCAGACAAGCTAGGCCTATCCAGCATTTTACAGATCTTAAAAAGTTTCAAGCATCTAGAGGGGAAGATCAGCGCAGGAGTAGAAAGAGAGAGGCGCGAAATACAGTATACCGATAAAAATAGTTTTTTTTACAGTGCACATTGATTGCAAACAGTCGTTTCTGATATTGAGAAGGTCTGCATGGTGAAACTCGCCGTTCGTGCTGAGAGATGTCAAAGGTTGAGCCTGTGCCTCGCAAGCTGTTGTGAGAAGTCAAACTGATTTTTTTATTTTTTATTTTATTTTTCTGGAAGTTGATCTCACAGAGCCCAAGTGAAACAGGAGCTGTGACCAGTGACTTTGAGAGATATGCCAAGTGTCGATGGTGAAGATGTGGCAGGTCGGTTACTCACAAGGCACATTTTGTACATTTGATTGTCTGGTTTTCGCATGATTTGTAAAGACTCGCACCGCTGGTGTGAGGACGCACGAGGCACATGGCTTTAGTCCAACCTCCCCACACACAGGCATCAAAACACGCAACTGAATGCACCTCAACAATGAGAAGAAAAGGACTGTACACACTGAGATAGCATTTATACAGTAGCACTGGGCAAATATACATAAAATAAATTAGAATAAATTATCTCTCTCTCAAAAAAGCTAAAGGAAACTTTTCTTGTTAAGCGCAGGGAGTAGTTAATGAAAGACAGCAAAAAGCTTTGGACTGAAGACCAAAAAAAAAGTGTCATGGCTATCTGATTTGGCTCAGCGATCAGTGTTTGCAGGAAACGTTTAAATCAAAGACAAAAACCTGACAATCTGAAACACACTTACAGGCTGATGTTGAGTTAAAACTGCTTTGGAGAATGTTTAAAGAAAACCAAGTTTGCTTGTTCGGTGTTGAGTATGACATCAATCAAGATTAACTGGCATCAAGTGAGTGAGCTCTTGGCACCGTGTCCTCGTTCAAAAAAAGTTTTTAGCACAACGCAAGTGTCACAGAATTAACTACTCCCTGAAGAAAAAAAATGAAAGAAAAAAAAATCTGACAGTGTCTTCAAAAATCTATATCATGAATCTGCAACAGACTGAGAAAATACAGCAAATGAGTCCTTTTAACTTCATATTTAAAGTCCTTAAAGACTTCATTGACGGAACAGTGGTTGCATTGCTGTAAAATGTGTCACTAAAGTAGCAGGTGTTAAGTGAGGATGTGTAGCGCTTGCCCTGCCCCCAGATGCGTCTCTCGCGCTACTAAAAATGGTTCTTAAACTGTACAGAAGCTGTTCCTACTAAGTGAAGCTGAATGTACCACTGACAGAGATATAATGCGTATTAGCACATCAGGTGCACCTGGAGTGAAATAAAATAAAAATGCATCTCTTTAACGTAACCCCAAAATGTTTCTGTAACAAAGAAGTTTGCAAAGCGGCATGTTCAGGGGAAGTCTGACTGCAAATACTGCTCATTATTGACAGCTGAAAACTTAAAGACGGTTACTGTGTCCACTGGCTTGAATATTGCTCACCCTTTAAAATACTCCCAAAGCGATGGAGCAAAGGGTAAAAACTCAGATTGTCAACCCAGCCAGAGAAATACAACCTGGAATCCTTTTTTTGGGGGGGGAATGATGATTTTTTTTCCCCCAAAGCTTCTCCGCTGTCTGATTGTTTCCGTTTCCCTGATCATAATCCCATGAGTGAGATTTGTTTGACTTTGTTTGTGCTCATTTGGTTTCGACACGCATCACAAACAGAAATCGTAATCACCGTCACTATGTCAGGTCTTGAAATATTTTCTAGTACACCTAAATTCAAGTATACATGCGTTACAAAAACAGTGTCTGAATCTCCACAGTTTTTGTCGTCACCTCCAGCTTGAGTGGTACTCAGGCGTGTAACGATACCGTTCTGCAAGTGTTCCTTCAGCATGAAAGTTCTTCGGTTTGGTGTGCTCTCTGATGTTTGTCTGCACACTTTTCAAGCAAGCTGCACTCAACGCTGCACTCCGTTTAGTCCAGTAGCTAAAGCATGCTAACACGGTTAGCCTTGAAATGAGCCAAGCACTGTGGCAATATTATTATGCAGGATTAATGTTGTGTTAACTCTCACTACATGTTGAGTTTGTGTTGCACAGCCAATCAACTGATGTCTTCTCAAATTCAATAGCTCTGTCAAATGAAATTGCACTGTTTCCTTTCATGATTTGTTTAAATGAATGACGATCAATCAATCTGTGTCTACAACACCAAGTTTCTGTGTACCGTTACGCCCCTCGTGGTACTCGAGATGCAGATGATGTCAGTGAAAGACAGGTTTTTATAGCATCCTATATCTACAAATTTGAATCTGAGCTGACCGACATCGCAGTGATAAATTGCCACAATGTCACAACAACCTTTTTTTTTTTTTTTAATTAGCCGATGTGGAACACTAAAAGGATGAGAAGTTATTTTGGGAGGATAAACAAAAAATGTGCCTTGAGTCCTCAAGGTTGAAAGTCAGTATCTTTAGCACACAGAAATGTCCACGTCCACAGTCTGTCACCATCATAGTGGCCTAATCTTAAATGTAATCATTTTTTTAATGATTTACTTGATGCAAAAGACTATGCGCTGTGGCAGGAGAGAATAAGGCATTCCCTGGACTGATGGAGGTCCTTCAAGACTTTAAACACCAAATAAAAGAGCTGTTTACTGTACAAAATAGGTAATCTTACAAATATTTCGAAAATATCTCTTCAAACAGAATGGCTTCTTCTCGGAGAGGCAAAAAACAAACAAACAAACAAAAGCAAGAAAAAAATTGATCAGTCTCCGTCCAGCGGTGACCAGTGTCTTCTTCATCTCATCGTTTTCTACTAGAAAACAAAAATCCAAACCCGTGTTCCATCTTACAGTGCCGTCCAGTCCAGTCCCTCATTTCCTGTTCGGAACGTAAGGGGCTGAGGTGAGGGCCAGTAAGAAGTCCCTTCATCTGTGCTCCCCTCTCAGATGGGGAATGACAGCCTCTCTTGGAAACAAAAAGCCAAACAGGGCCATGGTAAGGCGCATCCAAAAAGGCCGGTTTTGTCTGTGGTGCCTCATAAACTGCAAGGGGACAGACAAAAGAAAAGAAAAGACATGTTGTCAGCCTCAACAAGAGCCGGGTGTATAAAAGCTTCCTGTCATATCAGAATCACAACACTCGACAGTTGTGAAAGTCAATACACACACACACACTGATTTCAATTGAAAAGGTTTCTGAGGTAAAGCATTGTGAACTGTGGTAAACCCTGTGAGATGAAACCATATGACCGACTAGACTGGATGTTTCCACAACATTAGCTTGTGTCGAGAAAACCTGGCTGTCACACGCATACCAAAGTGCCTTCAATCCCCACCCCCCCAGGAAGTTTCATTCTCCTAACAGAAAATATTTATAATGATTTACTTGGTTTCAAGCGAAAAAGTTGATTGAAATATTAAAAGGTTTTAGCTCCCAGGATCTGACAATCATCCCAGCAGCATTACTTCATCTGCCTTTCAAAGATTTTAGTTGTCCCTCTAATTAAAGATTGCACTGCTGACTTCAATACAAGGAGCTCTAAGTGAAATGCTTTCAAAGAAAGCATGGCTGCAGCTCAGCACAGCTCTCCTTTAATAGCGCAGTCAGCAAAAAAAAATAAAAATGGAAGCAAATTATCAAAACAAAGCAAAGCAAAAATGAAACCGTTCCCTCATATTAAGCAACCGTCTCATTTTCCGTTGGGGTGCTCGTGCCTTGTGGGCTACAGACAGATGAAGGGGTTCTTGCTGCATCCTGAAATCTCCTGTCTCCACCTCCTCGTCTCTAATCCTGCACCGCTCCCTCTGGCATCCTGAACAGGCGCGCTCAGACCTTGCAGCCTGTTGCATAAGCATTCTTGTTGGGCAACCCCCCCGCACTCTCTTCACCAAGGTCTCTACCAGGCTAGCAATCAGAGCCAGCCACAGGCTATTTGATGCAGAACTAGCAGACTGAGCTGAACCAGCACTGCTAAATGTAACCCTAATTGTCCTTAATTGCCTTAATTTTACACTGCTGAGCTTATTTAAACACTACCCTTGTGTTTCACATGAAGCTCATCTTTATGCATTCACTCTCGTTGGTAGTGAGGAATATTGTGTGTTTTGTTCGCCACTTTTAGGGACAATATCCGCGCTCACCTCCCCGTTTCTTCAGTGTAACAAAGGGTTAATTTTTACCCCCTAAGTGACGCCTGAGCATTTAAGCAGCCAGCCACCAAAGTAGTCAAAATTGATGGACAAGACTCAAACCACAAACACAGCGTGCCTCACACTAACAAAAAACCCACACATTGGCCCACACTGGCAACTTCTGCTTGGAGAAGCAAGTGAAAAAGTCTAACAATAGCAGCAGAGATGGTACAGACAAGTGATTGGATATCATACAGGAGCACTTGTGATTATTCCCCCTTTGGAATATTCCTACAACAGCAGCATCTGATCCTGTATGATGAAACCATCTCCAGCGCAGACAGCAGACAGAAAAAGAAAAAACAGTCTCTTATCTCTCTGTCACAGAGTTACACACGCAAACCAAAACACACGGAGAAAACACACACGCCGAGGCAGGCAGCGGGACAACTGAGGTATTGTGGGTAGCCGTCATGTTACTGGCTGTGTCTATAAGTGTGTGAGTCAGACTCTATTTTTAGATGAGCATATAAACAGCCGACCGAGTCTACCCAGACACAGACTCGCTTCTAACTCCCATTTGTGACGGTCTCACCTGTCCTTTCTCAAACCTTACACCAAACTCAAAACCGTATACAGCTTTTCTTTTCATCAGAATGCTTCTCCAAATGCATTAGCCACACCTTGCTGGCAAAGCAAATCCTCATGGCAGCAGATAAGAAACTTGCCTGTCCCAGTTTATTTGTACTTATTAACTAAGCCCATGAGCAGTCCACTAACTGCTTTGCAAATATTGATGCACAATTAAGTGCTTATCTTGAACTACACGACATGTGTTCACAGATGAGCTTTCCAACTTGAGCCTTGTGTTTGGGAATTTTTTTTCCATTATAAAGAACTTATTAGGAAATAAACCCTAAAGAGTCCTACTTTCAGGTAACCTTACAAGCAACAAAGCTGATTTTTTTTTAGACAATAAAGAAATTTAGTCACTCCCGCATGAGGTTTCAGTGTTTCAGAAGACAGAGATGCCTCTGACCATAGACTAACAATAAACAAAAACACTGAAATGGGTTGTTTATATAGATATCTATTTATAATCTCCTTCTTGGTTTTGTTCCTTTCGTGAAGTTGCTAAATCACGGCTTAATAATCATTTAAGAGTTTTCGTTTTCTCGAGAAAGTGTCTGAATGACTGTTCGGGCTATTTTTAGCCGATGTGGGCTGCAGTAATTTAAGCTGGCAAAACTTCTCCCTTTTACCCAAAGAGCGAGCCACAAATTGGCACAACTTAGCTCTAATTAGTGTCTCTAATCAAGGACACATGTATAAAATTTAAAAAACAAAACAAAAAAAAGGTAACACAATATAGTCTGAGTTTTAGCAGCTGTTTAGAACCGCTGTTCCCTGCTGCCGCTAGATCTCACTGGCACGCACAAACTGTGGTTCAACAACCTAATTGAGCATTTAGATATTATTCACTTCTTCTTTTGTGTAATGTAAGTTAAATGATGTTCAGAGAGTCTCTACAAGTTATGCCTGGAAATGGATTTGAGTTGCCGGTGTTTGAAGGTAAGGGTTGCTGTGGATCTGCTTCGCCACTCGGGAGCGAGGCTTACCAGTTCAACGTGATCCTGTTGGAACTTGTCTCCAATTTCCCGCAGTTTACGACCAACTTGCACCTCAACACTCAGCTCCTCGGGTCTCTCTGCCACGCTGTCAATGTCTTCCCCTCTGTCCTCTTCCTCCTCCTCTTCAATATCTCCCCGGTCTTCCATGGGCTCAAAGTGAACGGGAAAATGCAAACGCAATCCGGCGTAGCCTAAAAGGAAAACATCAAGCTTCTTAGCACTTCAGTTGTTGCTAGGTTTTTTAAAAATGGTGAGAAGTTGTGGTCAGTGTTACTGCCAAGATCCCTACGTAAGTAATATAAGCAGTTTTTGATTTGAGTAGGTAGTAGTTTCAGTTCAGTAAAACTGCTAATGTTTTGCTTATGAAGTTAAACTAGGCAGTTAAAAAAAACGGAAAAAAAAAGAAACCTTTTGAAACCAAGGCTTACTATCTTGTTTACTATTAGTGGCCTCAAACACAGTTGTGTCTGACTTGCCTACGCAAATATACAATATAAATATGATGCTATAATAGTCTGTAAAACTAAAACAGGTTTTTATCAGATCGTCTCATGACTGGGCAAATTACAAAGTACATGAAGTACAAGTGAAGAGTTCATAATCAAGAAAAGTGAGCAAGAGTGACGGCAGGTGGAAAACACCTTATTAAATCAACAAGATCCTCAGTGATCCGCCGCCTCTTTCTGGGCCGTGTCACTGAGTTTACTCACTGCCTGACAGCACGTTTTCCTACAGTCGTGCCACTTGAAGAAAAACAATTTTTTTAAATGTTATCATGTGTGCAGAACGCTGTGACATTTCGCCCTAACAGAACAACGCAATATCTTTAAGAAACACTGTGTGGAGCGATGGCATAAAGCCAAGTGCATGACATCCATTACATTGAATGACAAGGTAATAACAGTCAGTGGTGTTTATGCATTGATGACTTTAAGGCGGAACAATAGGCACCTCTCAAGCACTGATACCGAGTCAACAAGCAAACAACATTCTACTTCAGCGTCTGTTTAATTCACTTATCATGATGTCATACTGATTTGATTAGACGTTGGAAAAAACTATTGGATTAAAACTGAGGCACATATTAACACTGGTATGTCGCTTTACGTGCTTTACAATTATTGTTGTCTATTTTTATCTTTTAAAGAAATGATCAGTTAAAATCCAAAGTAAAACAAAACTGGATCTTCTGTAATAACCACTGATCAAATTCAGATTCATTTTTTTCTTCGCATTATGTCACAAGCATATGCCTAATACTGTACTGAAGACAGTTACATAGAGAGTTAGTCTTATGAATATTATAGCACAAAGGGATCTCACAGAACTGATTTCTAGGCTTATCTGTTTTGCAGTGGTATTTTTAAATAGCATTTTGTTTGTCTCATGCTCCGAGATTTGCATCTCCTCATACAGCACCCCCGACGAGAAACCCGAGAGATAAAATAAACTGCTTGTAGTCCAAAGTTAAACCGCATTGTTTCTAAAGCTACAAGCCCGCATAACCTTCAACAGGCTCACCCCCTCCTTACCGTGAAACGGTAGGCAAGGCTGCCGTTGTAAGCTGCAGGGCAGCGTGTTGACGCTGTTGTTGCTGTGGCTCTGCGACGTGGACATGGCGGCGGTGACGGCGGCGAGGGCCTGTCCGGCTGCGATCTGTGCGACTCGGTCTTCGTGTTTGACACCCCTAAAGGGAGTTCCCCACAGTTGCGAGATGGGCTGTGACATATCCTCCTCCTCATCATCCATCCGACGCCTCAGCGGTAAACTTCCTGCAGAGAAAGAAGAAAGGTACATCAAACTTTTCGAATGAGATCACCGGCATTTGTGCGCACAAGTGTTTTGCTAGTGTAAATACAAAATGTTTCAGCAGGATTAGGTTTGACTCTTGGCTATGTTTACGAGCCATGGCGTGCAGGTAATTTGGGTGTGATTTGTTTTAAAACAAAAACAAAAATTGCCAAATGTCCCACTGCTGTCAGTGGCAACTTTGCCCTCTGGCAGATGGGCATGCATTGCATCCTATCTGTATTAAATGGAAATAAATCATTAGTCATTATAATCTGCATTAAGAGGCTTATGTTGCACGTGGTAATACTGAAAACAAACAAGCAGCGATGGCTTGGTCAGAAGAAAAGACCGATCTGTAAACGTATGTGTAAAAGAAAAATAAACATACAACCGCCAACTGTATAACCTTGTTTTTATTGCAGTGATGATTAATAAGAGGAAACAAATGTATGGAAATACCCTATATAGGGGGACCCAGTGGGCGGCTACAGACGTTACACCAGAGCTGCTACCCTCCTGCAGCACATTTTGCCAAGCTGTTCCTCACAATATGCCTAATTGTAATTGAGTGCCAAAAGATCCACAGCAGAGGCTTTCCCCCCACCCCTCTCCATCAGAATTACTTTAATCTGAAGAGTGTGCCTCACAGAAGAGCACTGTCAGGGAATTCAATTCTACTCCTCCATATTAGGACCTTTACTTCATGTTCCAGCTCACTCAACCACTGGATAGCCGCCTGTCCACACCGTTAACCTGCGCTGCACAGAGGGCAGAGTGTGAGGGAGACCACAGTGAAACCACTGTTCAGGGTAGACTGTTTTGCGCCACATACAGTGAGTGAGATAACGAGTTTCACTCCATCCTCAAATATGCCTCCTGAACACATACGCTCACGCTCTCTTCCTTGTTGGCAACATGCCAGTCTGAACTACTGTTATATCATTTTGTCAAGGGTGGCTGTCTTTTCCCTTTGTTGTGTAAGTGGAGACAAACAGGCTGAGTTGTCATATGCAAAAAGTTGAAACTGGATACACTGGTATTGTGTTTACCGAGCGAGGCGGCCGCAGCCATATAGCTCTCTTTGCATGATGTCATATCACATGGAGTCAAACAAGGAAACTGCATCTTTAACTGCAGTGGAAAAACACCGTCACTTTGTCTCATCCGATTGTTTACTGGCAGAGGAAAACAGAATTATTGACCAACAACCCCCCCCCCCCCCCAAAAAGAAGAAAAAAAAACATTTAACAGGGAAATTTGTCAATTCACTTGTGCTTTAATACAGTTACAAACTGCTCAAATCTGTGCCAACATCTCCTCCGGACCAGTTAAGCAGTACATTAATTAATGTTATGCAAGCAGCAAGTTTCACTGAGCTCAAATGTGCGCTTGTGTGTCAACTGCATTGCAAGCCCTGTCTTGAATTTCCACTGGCAGTCATCATGAGGGCTGGCAGCATTACCATACTGTCAGACACATAAAAAAATAAAAACAAAACCCCAAACATAGACAGGGAAATACACAGACTAGAGGCAGACCCACACAAACACACACACAAACACACACTGCCTGGGGGCTGCAGGGAGGCCTGGCAGCCACCACAGTGCTGGTCAAAAGTCTCAAAGCTCCAGTAGAAAGTGGCTCCCTCTGCTGCACCATCTGTGCACGGGCTCTGCTCAATGCAAAGCTGGGACTTGGGGAGCACGAACACTGAACTCGACTGCTATGCGACCTGCTGCTTTCATGCAACTAGGAGTGCTGGATGCATGGTCTGGTTAAAATAAAACCTATTAAAATGGGGAAAAAAAATAGGAAAAGAGTAGTCTGGTGTTTATTATTTTTTTATTTAATGACCTACTTTTTTCATTTTTTGCAGTTTTTCTGGTGATCGACGTTTGGTTTTGTCATGTGGAAGCTAACACCTGGGGTGCAAGTGCGATAAAACTGCACAAAAATAATCGACTTTAACCGACATTTACGTCAAGGAGGTTCAGCTCGACCGCAAGGACTCGACAGAGGACCGCCGGCAATCTACTGCGATTTATCCACATCAGAAGGACCATATTCCGGGCAGTTCAGAGCGTAAACACGCCGAGCTCGAGCGCTTGCGTGTTTACGCATCTAGAAAACTCGCAACCATCGCATCTCCTACCTTAAGAAGCTTGACAAAACATCACGCACAAAACGACCATTGACAAACGCAGATAAAGTTGACTTTAGATCAATGCATTTTTGTTATGTAAATCAGTTAGAGACAACTTACTTTAGTCTTTAGTCTTACTTTACTTTAATGTTAAAAAAAGAAAATAAAACCGAAAACGCACGACAGCTAACTAGTTGTATTAAAGAATAAACCAGGACCGCGTTTATTTGTATTCCTACTATTGCTCCAATTATCCGGCGCCGACACGTCCTCCCGAGAAATAAAACCATTAAAACAAACTTGAAAAGCGTCTAAAAAGACACCAGTTACGTTGCCTTACACACAAAACCACTTACTTTTAGCGTCCGCAGTCATTAGCCGGTGATAAACCTTCGCTAAATTACCTGTAATATGCGAACAATAACGCCTGTCGCTTGTCAAACACCGGGAGCAACCAGGAGCCCGGGACGTGGGGAAAGCACGCGCGAGAGGTGACAAATTCAACCCGTCACTGTCCCCTCTTCACCGAGTCCGTTAAAGAAAACAAGACAAGGAAGTCTGGCTAGCATAGAGAGACGGACAGAAACACATGTAGAAGCGCTCTCTGCCACACGCCAGCCACCTGACAGGTCCGCTCCTCCCGTCGCTGCCCGGGCATGCCCGAGCTGCCCGCACATTTGTTGATAAACTCCCACAAACAGGCGGCACGCGACAGCTCAGCGCGCGCAGATAGACTCGTTCTCCAAATCAGAACAACCGGGCGTTACACTCACCGCCAATATACGCGTTTTCCGTTGTGATCGGTGGTATCTTGACAACTTGCTGTTATCTTGTTTCCTACAGATTGCTGTGATGAGCCTCGGTACCTTCCTCGCATTACAACTACTCATGAATGTTTGCTGACTAGAGTGAGGGGTTGTTTTTTTCTGTGTCAAAAAAAAAAAAAAAGACGGGGAGAAGGGGCGGATCCGCCCCCCGGACACGCCCCTTCTTAATAATGTGAAAGGACCAGAGTCAGCCTGTTTATGCAAACATAATACATCGAGAGGATATGCTTTAGATATCACTTTTTAGCGTGTGAGTAGTGGTAAAGAAGCATTACATTTTAATCAAGTCCAAGTAGTAACGGCAGCCTTTGAAAATATTCAAGTAAATTATTTATTTGTTTTTTGTTGTTTGGTTTTCGATGTTATACCTGATACGGATTAGTGCATTTCTGACATAAACTCATATTATAAGCTATACGCAAAATCTCAGGAGGAAAAGGCACATGAATGAAGCCTTTTGAGTTACTTCAGTAATTATAAAAAAAGCTATTTAGGTGCAAAGCTAATTTACATTTAGTTGTTTTTTTTTCTTTTGTTGCATGGTTTGTCGAAATGAATAATAATAATAATAACATAATAATAACCACAATAAAAGGTGACTGGCCCTTTAAGAGAACAGCCCTCTTGCTGAACACAAGCTGGTGACTAGCTGCAAACCAATCAGCGGGTTTGTTTTGGTCACGCCTTCTCCTCCGTGTATCTTGACACGTGGAGGGCAAAAAAAAGAAAAAAAAAACCGCAAACCGAAATCCGACATGTGACTGCTTTCAGCGCTCTGCTCAGCTGATTGGGAGCTGCTGCTATAGAGTGGATGTACCCACCCAATTGCTGGGGTCCATATGACGATGAGCTGTGTACTGTCAAGGCAACAAACAGACTCGCAGATGGCACGTATGGATCTCAGTGAAATACAAAAATACAGTAGTATCAAATGTATGTCAGCCTCATATGATCTATCACATTGGAGTAGTTTTGTATTGAAATGTGTCATTTTTAAAGAGACACAAGTGTCTGCTTTATACCTTCTGCATATATCATAGTTACTTGTAACATGTTGATTTTACAGAATAGTCTGCATGATGACTTCTTTTGTACTTTTTACAACAGGATTCAAATGCCTCTAATGCCTTCCTTCCTTGACAACAATGGATTGAAATAACCATAGAGCCCTTTTCAGTCCATCCCCTGAAGGCACCCGTAGTGTCCTCCACTGATGAATGCACAGTGACACTGGTATAAACAGCAACAAGGACTGTTGACCCCCATTGCAGGGTGGGGGCATGCCTACGCATGGCATCACTCAAAAGATGAAGAGGGAAGAGAAAAAAAAGTACAGTGAAAACCAGTCTGCTAAAAGGGGTTGCTGAGTGCAAAACAGCTAAGCAAGAAAACCGAGACTTTTTGATCATCTTGTGAGTCAGATTTCCCCCCAAGAGACCATTTCTGGATGACAACAGATGCTGTGGCTTTTGCGTACAGTCCTGGTCAGCCTGTGCACAATGTTATGTTTTCACACTGTCCTGCCCCTTTGTTGTGCAGCTGCTAACGTGTGAATTTCTCAACTATTCACAAAATTCCCATGCAGACTTGCTGAGAAGAACTAGCAAACAACCGCGCCTCCGCCTTGTTTAAGCTGCAGTTTGACAACTCCCAACCCCCCACCCACACCAACTCCCTTTCACAAATCCTTGCAGTGAAAGGGACCCCACCCAAAATTTAAAGAAAAAAAAAAGAGCGAGATAAGATGGTGGTTGTTTTTGCTCTCTCTCTCTCTCCCTGTCTCTGAGTCCATGTTTTTTAACCTCAGTAAATCCCATCAGTTGTCAATCAGTGAACATTCAAGCAGACTGCAATGGCATAGATGATGATAACATCTGAACCATTTCTCTCCAAATCCCATCTCCTGACAGTTGTGAATTAAATCTGTACAAGGTCTTACAATACCAACCACATTGAGTTGTACAATTTAAATTGCATTAAAGTTTATTTTAGCGGCACAGAATAGTCTTTATGAATTCAATGACCCAACAAGGTCATGAAAATGAAAATAATTACTTATGAATGCTTAATTAGGGCACTGAAAAGTAAAAAAGTCACATCTCTCTCTCTCTCTTTTTTTTTTTACAGTTTGATGTGGGTGCAAAAATTTAGTATTTGAAAAACAAAGAAATCCAATCGCCCATAAGCACTTCATCACTCAGAAAAAAAAAATTACCCTCACGTTATCAACAACTAATTAGTGTTTCCAAACAATAGCTCCAAGATCTGTGCATTTCAGTCACAGTCAAATCTTTCTGCCAGAGGACTCTTGGGTATACGACAGCTTTTCATCAGTTAAACTGTGGTTTGGTTGGAGTCTTGTTGTTCTTTTGAACACAGAGCTGTTAACCACATTTGTTTTGCAAATCAGATTTTTTTTCTCTCTCCCTCTGTTTTGGCAGAGAACGTAACATGACGCGCTGTCAGTGCGACAGATTCAGAAACACAAACCTTGTGTATTGTGCAATCTCATCTACTGTTTTAAGTCATTTGCTTCTATTTTGCTTTCAAGTGCTCCGCATGAGACCCTTTTGAAGTGGGAAAACAGCCTTTGTGTCTGAGCTGAACTCAGAACTTGTCATCTAAACTCAAACTTCCACTGCCTCTAATGTGTCAGCTGCGGTGGCAGACGACGTGTCCCAGCCCATTTTTGTCGGAGCAATTTCTCCCTGCGAGGCAGTCAAAAATTCTCCACAGTGAGTTATTTCTGACTACGTGCTGCCAGCCGAGGTGATAAGACCGCTGAATGTTGAAATTTTTCAAAGTCCGCTGCATAATGATACAATTTGCTTTGTGGCTTTTTCGCTAATGGTACCTGGCATACAGACACTTTGTCTTCGATCTTCAATCCTTTCTGCGCCCAAACAACTCCATCATTGTTTGTGCTTGTACCAGTATGCACTTTCACATCCCAATTTCACGCTTTCGATCCCCTTGCTATTCAATTATCTGCTTAAACCCCTGTTTTTCACATAAATTGATTGTGAAACAAGCGAAAGAGATGCCAAGCTTTTTTTTGCATGTTATTGGAAAGCTTCACCCCCCCCACTCCGCCCTCATATTCCCTCCGCCTATTCTGTCAACACCTCTTGATTTTAACCGCAGGTACAGCAGGGGCCCAGTGAATGAATGCTGCTCTCTCAGGGTTCATCCAAAGGTAACACATTTGAAGCCCAGAACCGCCCGAGGGAAAAACACTTCCCTGACGATTATGTGGATTTTGACATGACTTTCATGTCCTGGAGTAAATGTAATCCTATACATAAGGACTACCTGGGAAGGCTTGAGGGTGAAAATGAACTGTTGCATTGTGTCTTTCAATTTGTCGTCCCGTACTCCAGCTGCAATGGCAAGTTTGTGGTTAATGAACACTTAATGATTACTGAGTGGCAGCAGCAGTCGCAGCTCAGGTGGTAAACAAACCATTTGTCAGGCAGAGTGGCAGAGCGATGACACCTGTGCAACATCCAAAACAATTCTTGCATCCAATTTGCAGGTGTCCCTGCACTAGTGCTCGGTAGCAGATTATTGCTGTCACGCTATTGTTGTGTGGTGTACTTATTGCTACCCACAATTTTTTTTTAATGTTTTAATTCAACGGTGAACAAATTATGACAGTCGTCAAAACACCTAGAAGTAGGTACCCCCAAAAAGTTGATTCTGTTCACTGGACGTAGCGTTTTCAGTGAGAGAATCATTTTGTCACTCATCCAAGGGACATCTTCATTCTCAGCTGACTGCAGGTTTCGCCAACCTTATAAACCACACATTTGCCTATTGACTGAAACTGACAAACAATGGGCTGTGAGGTTAGTTTCTGTGATGTCGGAAACCTCAGCGTTTCTCCCACTGAAAACGCTACATCCAGATGAACTGAATTAAGGTTTTCGGATTTCCTTACTTCTATGATAGAGCATGCATCAAGACATTAGATGTAAGAAGTCAAAAGAAACTGGACTTATTATGTCTTGACCAATCAAGTGGCGGTCTAGCTGTGAACTAGATGTCTAGATATAGGCATCATCTTTCCATCCACATGACCCAAAAAACTGTTATAAAACTACACCAGCTGGGGTGTGAGGTTTCTTTAGCAGTAAAAAGCTGCTAACTGAGTTTTGATTTACATGCAACTTTAAAGTGTCATGTATAGAAATGTAGGAAGTGTGTAACCTATTTTTGGACCTTGAAAAGATAACTTGTTGTATTTTGCAGGAGAATGAAGTGCATTCGCTTGCTGCTCTCCGCTTTAATTCTTGGAACTCTGTGCGCACTCAAGAGGCAATAATGGGATTTTGGGAAGTCCATGTCAGATGTGATGAGCTGCTTCCCGCAGCCCCCTGCGCAGAGGAGTTCAGGGGGTGGGGGAGATAACAAAGTGGTGAAAGAGATGTGTGAGCTGTTTTTTTTATAAGGTGGGGCACTCCGCGCTTTTCTGCAAGGCATTAATCTTGTTACCTCATTGGCATGCTTGACAAAAGTTCAGGTGTCACTGTACAAGCTGTACAGCGGCATTTGCTTCTGCAGCTCTTCGTCCCTGCTTTTATATGGATCCTCTTCAGAGATGTCCCACAGTTTTCTAAATACTTCACTGGCTGCTAAAGTGCTGGTAGGTAGGTGCTGTGCAGCGGATTAAAAAAAGAAAGCAACGATAAATCATTGAAGGAAGGAGACATGGATGGAAATAGAGTTGGAGTTGGTCTTGTTTCTACGGTAACTGTCGACGGGGAGGTACCAGGGATGAAAGTGGAGAGAAAACAAACCTCCCCGCTCCGATGGCAACAGCACAGCAATTGGTTCG